TTTTGTAGAGTTGCACTTTATGATGTTTGTTATTTTATTTGAATGTGTGTGTATGAGTTATGTACCTGTGTTTTAATCCTTTGTCTTGTTAATTTTATCATCATGTGTTTGTATCTGATCTGGGTGTTTTGAGTGATTCTGTATTTCACAAAACTGCAATACTGTTTTTTCACTTAGTTTTTTTTTAGCTTATTTTGATATATTTTTTTCTTTTACTCCATTTTAATCCTATGTTTGAGTTGAGCCCTGTGTTTCTTTTGTGTCTTGTCTTAATGTCTTCCCATGTTATGTAAAGCACTTGAATGACCTTGTTGGACATTCTTAGAAACAGAAATGAACCCGAGTCACATTCCTTTCTTCTGCTGTCATTCATTCACCACGACATCTAAATCAAAAACTTCCTGCTCAAACTGCTCTAGCATTTCCAGTTTCAACTCCAAAACATCATGTTCCCACCAGATAAATTCCAGTGTGCACAGAAAACATCACAAGATCACAGAAGTCTCTTCGTCTCTTTCATGGCAGATTTAAACTATTTGACTAGAGCAGGGTTTTTAATCAATCAGCAGTACTTTACTCTCTGGCCCTCACAAGATCAGATGTGTAACTTTGGTTTCAAATTGTACTTTTAAATATGTATTCTATATTGTTTTTCACCTGACTCTCTGCTACAAGGCATAGGTCAGGGCTGGATCAATCAGATGGTCACCCCTCCAGTAACTCTGTAACTAAATCATTGTCTCCTCCCTTATATACTATTAACTTGAAACAGCGTATCAGTAACATGTTCACTGACAAATAACTGTTTTTAACTTTGACACAATATCTGCTTGTAGCAAAGAAACTCCTGTAATGGGATTATGAAAGTGTTTTGCACAAATCTGTAACTGAGTGTAACTGTAATGCTGAAGTTTTATTGGATGCATGAATTAGTTTAGCAAGAAAATCCCATCGAATGATCACAAAGTTTTAATGAACTAATCAATTCTGTCAGACAGTATCGCTGAAATCAAATGAAAAACCTTGCTGATGAATGAACTCTTTTAACCCTTAAAAACAAGACGTTTTCTCTGGTGGCAGGACTGTTTGTGTGCCCTCCATCCTCTCCAACCATCTACAGTTATGCAGCACTTTCTTTAAGGAAACAAACATCTCCACGTAACATAAACCAGTCAGCGATTTTCCTCAACACAGAATTGACAAAACACATTAGCGGTGGTGCATAAATGTCATTTCTAGGAGAAAGACATGGCCACAAAATACTTTAGTGATTCAGATTACTTAAAAAATGTACAATTCATAACAATTTTAAAACCAAACAGACGTGCAGTGAATCTGGAGCCTCTGGGCAGTTTGCCTGCTCAGCCTTGGTACCGTCCTAACAACATGCATTTACTCCAAAAGACACAGCTGTGATGTTTCTCTCTCAGAGTGAACTGATCACACACAGAACACACAGAACAACAAAGGTTTCATCAACACTTACCCTCTGCTGCAGTCTGGACTTCAGCTTCTCCTCCGTCATCGCACACTGAAATCAGAGAGCGACGACTCCTCAGCGTTTTGTTCTTTCAGCTTGACTGGAAAAAAACTGGTTCTTTGCTCCTTGACATTTTGTTGATCAGTTGCCATATCTGCTCCACCTTTATGCTGACTGGAGAACAGCCAAGTCTCCTCCTCTGGTTAAAAATAATTTGTGACATGGGTTAAGAATAAAGGCTGATTATGAAAAAGAAGTTTATATTTCCACTTCAGTATCATACTCGTCAGAACAAAAGGAGGGAAATAATGTGACACTTATTTTTTTTGGCACACCTTTCTTAAAAGGCGTAGTTTGTTTATAGAGGATTTACCTCCATAATATATATGATCGAGATAATAAACCATTTGTAAGAACAATTTCTGGTCTTAAGTTCAACAGGACAACAACTGTAGAACTTAGCTCAAAATCCATTTACTAAAAACGTACTAACATGAACAACTGCAGGCTTCATGAGCACACAAACCTTAGTTAGTAACTAACCAACTGTTTATGAATGTTTTTCTAATGAGCCATAATATCCGCTGTTATAAATATTGGCAGGTCATTCATAAAAGCTTCTGTGCTCCTGCAGTTGTAAATGTTTAAATCAACTACACATAATGTTGTTGATACATTTTGGTTTAGGACCAAAAACCTGCAAAACCCGGTCTCACTCCCAAGTCGTCACATATGGACGCTTGGTCATAATCGTCAGTTTGTGACGCACTAGGGATCCCTTTGACGTCACAGTTCGACGTATTGAGGGAAGCCCTGTGGTGTCAGTTTTTGGTGGTAAAGGCAAGTATGATATTTAAGAGAAAAGACGAAGTAAGGAGGTGATTGGGGTGGATAGAGGGCCAGAACCTGGACGTTGAAGCAGGAGAACAGGGTTTGTGTCCCGTGCGAAACAAAACATTAAATGTTTTTATTTAGGCGAGTGAGGTAAATTGACATTAACGTTAGTTAACTTAAGTCTTAATTGACATACATAGCTATTTTAACCCAAACCATGATCTTTTCCTAACCTTAACCAAGTAGTTTTGTTGCCTAAACCCAACCAAGTACTTTCTGTGCCTAAACCTAACGAAACTGCAACGTTTCACGACTTTAATTATGCGCGTTTCAACATGGCAATGTATCGAAACGTTACGTTTTATCTTGAAAGTGTAACCGGATATTTCATATTTATTGTTGCTAAGCGTTGCTAACTTGACTGTGGATCCCTAAATGTCAATAATTGATGCAAAAGGGCTACCCAAGTCTTTAAAAAGCGACGCCAAAGGGCCTTGACCATGCGTCAGACATTTGACGAGTAGGGAGTGAGACTGTGTTACGACACGATGACTCAGCTGTATTTTGTGTTCAATGCTAATTAGCAAATGATAGCATGCTACTATGCTAAACTAAGATTGTGGACATGGTAAACAATCTACCTGCTAAAAATTAGCATGTTTTCATTGTATGTTCTTATGTTGATTTTAGCATTTAGCTCAAATAATCGTCGTGCAGGAGTCGCTAGAATGACTGTAGACTCGCTAGCAACAAGATGCAACTTAAAAATATGCAAGCTTTAGACCTATTTTTGAACTTCGAACATTTGCTGTTTCAATGTTATCAATGTTCTTATTTCACTCTTATCAAGAGAGTGAGGAAGCACATTTCTGACACATTTGACCCACCTGGAACTTCTCTTCAACGCATGCATTTGTGTTATTTGTTTTTTTGTGGGGGGTTATTGCACAAATTCCAATACAACTTTTCATGTTATACTTAAACATTCACAAAGGTAAAAAAAAACTTGGTCATATTTGCTGAAACTGTCACTATCCGTGCACTACTGCTCCTATTGTCCCTCTGGACCAGTAGATGATGTGATTAAAGGACCAGGAGTCGTTACATTAAATATATCTGTGCATGGGACACAGCTAAGCTACATCATGTGTGTAATTCAGGGCACAATTCAAATGGGATAAAAATAAATGTTTTATTCCTCTCCATTGACTAACATAAATATTTTCCCCAAAACTGCACAAGTACATTACTTGAAACCACAAAAATATTACTTGTACTGCAAATACTGCTAATAAATAACATTCCTAATTAATATACTTCACTCTACACGGACAGCAAACTAACCGTTATAACCTAATACCCTATTACAAACAGCTTAACAGCTTAGCAATTAACAGTTAACATGCAATACGTGATTTCCAAAATTATTTAAACCTTCCTAACCATCAACCATGTTGTTTGTATGACATCAACATGGATGGGCGTCTTTGGAGGACCTTACAAAATGTCATTTTAAATCACATCCTGACAGCATCACATGATTTTTTGTCAGAAATGTACTTTTAAGTGACTGAACCACATTTTGCTCATGCTAGAGAGGCCTCTTACGTGCATCAGTCAAACGTGTAGTTGCCTCAAACCTGAAGCTTGTGTAACTGGATAAGACACATTGTGAAAACAACACACCTTTAAAATGCTACTTAGAAAAATACTTCCACGTCCTGAAAAAGATATAAAGACCCGTTTCTGAGCTGAAATCCTCTAAATGTTTGTTACAATTTCTTGTTTCAAAGTTAAAGTTTATTAAACCAGGAAGCTTCTAGAGATACGTCATCTGTTTTACAAGAAACAATAACAGTTAACATATTCAAAAGACAGGGCTGGGAGGGGAAAGAGATGCTGTTGAATGTGTTTTCGGCCTGATATGAAGTCCAGGCTGCAGAGTGTGAAAATGCTGTTCAGAACAGCTGTATCATCCATCATCCTGTTGGAAACAGGAGAAAGCTTTCACAATGTTAACTTAAATTTTTCTCATGAATAAAAATGCACCAAGCTTTGATCTAGGGCAGTGGTTCTCCAACTTTTTCTGTCAAGCTCCCCTTTCATTTATATCAATCATTAACAACCCGGGCGATTGAAATAAAACAAAAGATTCAGATTAACTTTGCTTGCATCAGAGCTTTTTTTACCACCACATGAATCACATTGGTGAGATGATAAACCAAAGATCTGGACAACATACAGAACACACTGTGCATCAGAAAGCAATTACAACTCGAACATTTACCTTAAAAGTAAGTAACAAAAATTAAAAATCTACTCTACAGTGTAACCTATAGGAAGCCGCTGCACTGATGGCAGGACAGGTGCCTCTTTTTTTATTCCCATTAAAAGCCTGGCAGCTGAACTGTGAACCAGCATTAAAATGTCCTCTAAAGGGCCATAGACTCTCTGGATCTGGCAGGTGTTCAAAATGTGCTAAGTAAACAGGAAAAGTGCTTCTTCCAGTTTCAACCTGAATGTGTCATTTATGTTTTAGGAGCTTCAGATTTCCCAAACAATCGCCCGTGTAATATGAATCCTTGAATTCACTGTGTGTTAATCTCACTGCTCTGGGTTAATGTGTGCTACTTTGTGTGTTTATGTGACGACATCCTGCGAGGAGGAAATAAAAGTCCTCTGACTTTTTTTTAGATACTAGATGCCAAGGTTCAGCAGCGGACAAGAGCAGAACAGATGTGTTCATCTGCAGCGTTGAAGCAACTATTTGTGAAGAAGGATTAATTTACATGGAACTACTCTCAGCTTTAATTTTTAAATCGTCATCTGCAAAGAAAAACTCGATTGCTAATCTAATCATTGATTACTGATCCGTATTTGGAGGCAAAGACAAACAGGTAATGACATTTTCTCTCCTGGAATAAAGGCTTAAATGTGAAATAAATAAAATGAATAACACATGAAGTCACCTCCAAGTCTTTAATATGTATATATGTATTTAGTGGCTGTTGTATTGAAGACATTAGCACGGAGCTGTATTTTTCTGCAGCAGCACCTGCAGGTTTCTGCCGAGACGGTCAAGCGTACTGATAAATACAACAAACTGCCGAACTACAGTATTTATGTCGCATATGCTCTTAAATCAACTAGTAGGTAGTTTGTGCCCATAGATTCACTTTATTTTCTGTAAGGAGAAACTCTGACTGTTACCTGTTTGCTTTGTATTCACCTGAAAATTGCACAAACTAAGTGAACAAACTGCAATAAATGACAACAAAGCAGAAAAGTTCAGCTGTTTTGACTTTGTGACTGGACCTGTAAAGACGGGTCGTGTCTGTGATGTTCACTCCTGTGTGTGATTACTGTGTTGTAGACCTGCTGTCATTATATGAATCAATAATGTTTCTAATGTGCTGCAGGGAGTCAATGCAAATACATGTTTTGACACTGAGTCTTTGGCATTGATTTAAATGTGAGGTTATTAAATGTCAGGGCCTCTCTGTTCATTTTACATCCGTCCACCAGATAGCCTCAGATTTTCCCTCCTTTCCACATCACCTGTCTGCTCCACCCATCTACACACCTGTTCCCACTTCTCTTATCAGCCCTGGAGCTGCCTTCCCTTCTCTGTTTCCACTCGCCCTTGTCCTGCAGTATTTCATCAGCCCTACTTGGATTTGGTCTTTTTGCGTTTTGGACTTTGGATGCCTGCCTGCTCCTTACTGCATTACTTTGCTTGTGTTGGATTGCTCTTGTTTGTTTAAATCACTGAGCAGAACCACCTCTGACGTCTGCATATGTGTCCTACCCCTGTGTTCCTGCTACCCTGCTTGCACCATGACAATTAAATATTCACTACAAATTTGAGGTAGAAGTTCTTGAAAACATGATAATCTCATAAAATATGAGGCCTTGTTATAGATTGAACTACCCAACATTAAGCTAAATGGCTAAAACTGGCTCCACTTTGACAAACTACAATAGTAACATACTGTTTTCACATAAATGCATCATAAATAATAATCCCATAACAGGATATATAATAGTACAACACTTAAAGACCATTTTCTGCCTTATGGTACTTTTACTTTTGATACTTAATATTAACTTTTAAAGATGTATCATTTTCAATGCAGGGAGGATTTTCACACTGTAGTATCAACAGAGTTTTAACCAGTTTTATCCCATCGACTTGTCTGAGCTTTTAAAAACAAATATCACAAATGAGAGTGTCCTCCGGCCCACTTGATATAATACCTACAACATTTTTACTAAAAGTAATAGATTCTGTTGGGCCCCATTTGATCTCTGTTTTCAACAGCTCCCTATCTACTGGTTGTGTACCTGATTATTTTAAAACGGCTTGCGTGAACCCACTTTTAAAGAAACCTGGTTTAGATCCCTCCCTCTCACAAAATTTTAGACCAATTTCAAAACTGCCTTTTATTGCAAAGATTCTAGAAAGAATTGTGTCCAAACAGCTGCTCACTGTGCTGGAAAATAACAAAATATTTGAAAAGTTTCAGTCTGGTTTTAGGAAGTACCACAGCACTGAGACTGCCCTGCTTAAAGTCACCAATGACCTTTTAATGTCTGCTGATGAAGGCATGTGCTCAGTCCTTGTACTCCTGGACCTTAGCGCTGCTTTTGACACCATTGATCACAACATCATGTTAGACAGACTGAGGCACTGGGTGGGAATCTCTGGTACTGCCCTAGAATGGTTTTCATCCTACCTGTCAAATAGGAAGTTTTGCGTGTCTGTAAACAACTATGTCTCCTCGTTCTGTCCAGTTAAATATGGTGTGCCTCAGGGGTCGGTCTTAGGACCCATTTTGTTTTCCTTGTATCTGCTTCCCCTTGGACATATTATCCATAAACATGGCATTTCTTTTCATATTTATGCTGATGACACACAAATATACTTGCCCGTCAGATCCACAGACCCTGGAATGCTGAGTTCACTTAACAACTGCCTTTGTGAAGTTAAAAAATGGATGTCAAATAATTTCCTCCAGCTGAACTCAGACAAAACAGAAATCCTGGTCATCGGGTCTCAGCAGATGGCAAATCAAATACTGCCATCTGCTGGTTCCCTAGTAAATCACATTAAGCCTGTGGCAAAGAACCTTGGTGTTTGGTTTGATAGTAATTTAAATTTCGAGCAGCACACCACAAAGCTTGTTCAATCATGTTTTTATCAACTTAGAAATATAGCTAAAATTCGATCTATGTTAACTTTTAAGGACACCGAGACCATTTTACACGCCTTCATCTCATCACGCCTGGATTATTGCAACAGCCTTTTCACCTGTTTAACCCAAAAATCTATTGATCGACTCCAGACTGTCCAGAACTCAGCTGCCAGGCTTTTAACCAGAACAAAGAAATATGACCACATTACTCCTATTTTAGCTTCATTACACTGGCTCCCAGTATGTTTTAGAACTGACTTTAAAATTCTATTGATCACTTTTAAAGCTCTTCATGGCCTCTCGCCTTGTTATATTTCTGACCTTTTAGTCCCATACGCACCAGCACGTACCTTGAGATCCTCGGGCAGAGGTCTGTTGTCTGTTCCAGAGTCTCGACTGAAAACTAAAGGGGACAGAGCGTTTGCTGTCAGGGCCCCGAGGCTCTGGAACAGCCTGCCCGAGGAAATCAGGTCGGCTGAGTCAGTGAACTCTTTTAAGTCCCTTCTTAAAACATACTTTTATAGGAGAGCCTTTCCCGATCTTATTTGACTTTATTTTATCCCTTTTATTTTATTGTATTTTACTAATTTTATATTAAATTTTCATGCTCTTATCTTTTTTTTGTATTATTCTTTACACTTGTTAAAGCACTTTGTAACTTGTTTTTGAAAAGTGCTCTACAAATAAGGATTATTATATTACCTGTACTTAAATGAAGGCTCTGAATACTTCCTCCACCGCTGGACCACAGTACTGTCTGTATTTACTGACACACCTCTGTTTGTGTTGTGTCATTCAGGTGATTTGTTGGCGTGAGGCTCAAAATGAGGCTCTGTGACGAATCTGAGGACGGAAACACTGCAGTGGAGCAGACAGGAGGGTCTGCAGCCTCCAGCTGCTCCAGAAACAGCGAGCGGCTCGCTGTGCCACGTTTCGGCCGTCACCACCTGCCTGCAGAGTGAGATTCATCATTTACATTTTACATCGAGACGAGGGGCTCGTTTTCCAAAACCTGGTCAGACACAGAGAGAAACATTTAGACCGAACTCAGTCCACTGAACATTCACCAACAATCACAGTAAATAGGTTTAAATAGGTGCAGAGTTGATGCATTAAGTCACCTGTTAACTGATTTCAGGTCATTTTTTTGAAGGCAGCTGCTTCATTCAGTCAGTTTTGTGCCATGTTCTGTGTTTTAGAATCAGCTCATTCATCCTCTTACAAATAATAAATTCCAGTAAAACATCCTGGATCAGTTCAGTCCTCTCAGGAGTTTTGTTGCTACAGCTCTGCTTGCTCTGTGACCAGCAGCTTCTGGTGCTATAACTGAGTCTGTATCCTGACTTCATGTCTCTGCTCTACTCGTGTCTCTGCTGCACTGCATTTCACTGTTTCAGAAAAACTTATGGTCACTTTAAACTGTCTTTCAGCTGGGTGGAGTTTCCAACGGCCATCTATCTGCTGATGAAACACAATCAATCCCAAGAGCTGATCGATGTCGACTTGGAGCCTTCAGTCACAAAGTAAGAGGATCGATATCTTTCTCATGATGTGCTAAATATAAAGCTAGAGGAAGGCGTTGATTAGCTTAGCTTAGCATAAAGACTGGAAGCAGGGGAAACAGTTAGCCTGGCTCTGTCCAAAGTTCAAAAATATACCTTTTGACACCTCTAAAGCTCACAGATTGACACTAAATAACATGTTATATCTTGTTTGGACAAAAACCCAAAATGTAAAAACAATTACAACAAGAGTTACATGATGATACTGTACATCTCAACGTACAAACAAAAGTTTGTTCAACAGCCCAGTAATTCTGTGCAGCCTCCCGGGTGTTGACCAAGACAGAAGTTTTAAAAACAGCAGATCGTTACGGGAGGTTTGTCTCCAGACTATTTCTTGGCTGGGAGCAGCAACAAAGCACATAACCCTCATAAAAACCACTACTTTTAATTTAATTTTACACTTTTACACTTTTTCACAGTATTTGAATAAAACAAATGAGATTTAATGTGTTAATTAGTCAACCAGCTTTAGAGGTGTTGGTAGTGGTCGAATGTATATTTACTAAAATAACAGATAATCAATATTTTCATTTAATTCTACTCCACTGTAGAATAGGGGATAATGTGCTCTCTTACCCCACAGTTTGTAAGTTAAAATGAGCTCTTTCTCCACCTGCTACAGCATTAAAATGCTGTTTACATGTTCATGCATTAACAAAAAAAGAACATATTAATTATATTTTGGTTTCAGGACTTTTACTTGTAAGTACAGTAGTTTTAAATGTTGGTATTGCTGCAGATTTTGTTACCTTTGGGTAGAGCTAGGCTCTTTCCCTCTGTTTCCAGTCTATGCTAAGCTAACCAGCAGCTGGCATTAAAGTGTGTTTCCCAAAATGTTGAACTATTTGCTTAGTTGTTTTATTTTTCGTTTCAGGAGTTTAAATTCGCCTTCCATTTTCAAATAGCTAAATATTTTCACTGGTACAATTTACTTTCTCTTTTAATTTGAATGTGTAAAATTATCCTCCATATCAAAAGCTGGAGCCACGAACGGCACATTAAATCTGGAAGATGAGTCTGAACTGGTAGATTAATGTGTTTCTGTAGCCTCATGCGGGACTAGATATCACATGCGCTGAACTTTACATGTAATTTCAGACCTGTGTGCGTGAGGACGAGCAGTAAGGCATATACTCCATATTTCTAGAGTCCAGCCTGAACTGTGCAGTAAGTTCACTTCTCATTCTTCATATTACACCAGGCTGTTCTTCTGTTCTTCAATCACACATAAATTATATTTTCCAAAGGTTATGATGCTGTCAGCCTGAAGAGGAATGAATCCTTGAAGAGCGGTCCCTGGATGGGAAATATCTGATTCTTTATTTCAGTCGAGAGATGAGAAATCTCTTCTACAAGTTGAACATCAGCGCTCGCTGTCAGGAGGTCTGCTTTTAAATCATTTTGTTGTGTCAGTGGGGGGCCCGGGCATTGTTGACGAAGCTAGCTGCAGATGGGAAGAAGCTTTTGTCCTGATTGACCGCAGCCTCCTGCCAGAGGGAAGCGTAACTTTGTGAAACACATACCAGTAATTTGGTTTGTGAATAATTATTATAACGTCAACAGTAACCTTGACATGTACCACTACATTTAGAGATTATATTTTTATAGGCTACAGAACGTACATATCTACAAAAGAAATGTTTAATAGTGTGTAGTATGTATAATTACAGGGCTGGTTCTTTTCTCATCTGTGAATTTATTTCTACCAAACCAGAGTTGGTGATTACTGAAAAACTGGAAACACTAACAATGACGGGTTTGGTGAGTTTTATTTTGTTTCTTTCTAGTTTGAATGAAGTAAGGTCAAATTATTGTTTTATGGAGTCTGGTGGCTGATAAGAAGCTAAAACGTGATTTTTAACCTTTTCTGGTTAATCAAAATTGTGTTAAAAAAGTTCTGAAACCTGTCAGTGGCAAAAACAAGCACTTTTAGTTGATGTACTTTGGCGGGCTCATTTGTCCCCGGGGATCACGTTGCAACTATTACAGCCCGTTTCTAGAAACAGAATATTTCTCTGAATTAAAATTATTTCAACCAAACCAGAGTTGGTGATTACTGAAAAACTGACAACACTAACAATGACGGGTTTGGGTTTAGTTTGAATGAAATGTATCACAACGATGAGAATTAAATTTACTGTTTTTCTCAATGGAGTCTGGTGAGCCGTAGCAGACGTTTGTTTTGTTGAGATGCTGGTGCTGTAGTGCTGCAGTGAATGTCTCCTTTAATTCATTTTACAGAAGAAGCTTTCTCTTTTTTCTGTATTGTTTTCATTTTATTATGATAGCTGTCTACATTTACACGCCGTTTGCATGCTTATATGAATGTTTTATTGGTGGTGCTCCCAGTGGGATTGAAACTGTGACCGTGCATCACAGCATTGTTCCGTTTTACGACACGTTTTAAATGTTTGTCTCTTAGGAAGTGTGTTTCTTGAAGCTCCTGCTCTCTGCTGTTGGGTAATAAAGTTTTTAAAATCTGATTTGAGTGACTTTGTCTACATGTAAAACACTGTTTCATTTCAAAACAACATTTAGCAGTTTTTAATGCTCTCCGTTGTCTTATTTGCTGAAACTGTGAGAACACCTCTGAGAAAAAAATATGGGTGTTAAAAAACAAAATACTGTGCATAAAGTTTAAAAGTCTAAAATGAGGGTGCTTGGTTATTACATGGCACATGATGACTAAAGGCCATAAACTGTAAAGCCTGTAAACGAACCCTGGATGATAAAGTATCTGAACACATCAGCACAAAGTAAATAAGATTTTTAAGAGTGTCCTGTGCTAACATAGCTGTCAACATTGGGATTTGAAAATAAACATAATACATTTTCAGGGCCATATGTGAGTGAAATATAATCTTTACACACACTTTAAAGAGTTCTTGTCAGCTACAAATTTGAGATTGTTTTCTCAGCCGCTGCTCTTTGTAACTCAAGATAAACTTTTATTGACACATAAAGCAGAACAAGCCTGAGCTGATATTCTACTTCCGTGGTGCAGGCTCCAAAACAAACTAGCACATAATACAATTACGCAACATCAACTTGAGGCTTTTGCTGAGGGTCTGTGTGCAGCCGTGTTCACTCACTGAACAAAGTCTCAGCTATTTTACAAATACACCATTAACTGTGTCAGAAAATGTAAAGACCAAACAAATAAGAGCCTGTAAGAAAGCAGCAGCAACACTCCTCATAAGGTCCCACAGATTACACATTTTAGTGTCTCTGCATTAATGAATCAATGTTTTTAAATACATTAGCGTAGTAGTTCAAGTCAGGTGAAAAACATTAAATAGAACATAAGCAAGCAGCCAAAGTTAAAAACTCTTTTTACATCACCAAAACTGAGACATTTCAGACATAAAATTAACAATTAAATGAAGGAGTTTGTTCATTATTTCTCAGATTTGCTGACCTAAACTTTGTCTTTACCATCTCTGGTTATTCTGCAGCAGTAGTAGTAAATGGAGCCTTGAATGTTGATGGAAAAACTAATTTCTTCAGCTGTCCTTGTTGGAACAGCCTGTTAATAAACTCTAACCCTTCATTTAATTGTTAATCTGAAAATGTCTTTGTCTTGGTGACAAACATTGTTTTTAACTTTTGTACCATTTAAAGTTGTTTACTTGACTTGAAATTCTGGAAAAGTAGAAAAATGTTTTGAATGGCCTTTGTGGGATTTGCTTTGGATTATATTTCTGGCCTGCTGACCCCAAAGAGTCCTGCTGAACCCGAGGAGCTGGAATGACCAGCGAGTGGAGACCAGGAGGCTGGTTCTTTATGTTTAAATGGCTCCTAAACATTATTTTACAGTTACAGTTGAACTTTTACTGCTTGTTAAAATTTAATGTTTATCTTTTACTTAAGTGTCATCTTCAGATTTCTTGTTTTGTCCGACCAACAATTAAAACACTCTTATTACACTATTAAATAACCATCAAATACTGTAGATTGTGGCATTCATAGGCCAAAAGCCATCACAACAAGAAAATGGATAACCACACAGGCTAACTAATTCACTGATATACAAGCTTACATTTAAACAGCTCGCCTTGTTATCAAACTCGAACCATCAGTTAATATTTAGTTTTATCTGTGTTAGCAGCTATCAATACACAAACACTTTTTACTAAAAGGGACCGGGGCCAAACTCCCCTAAACAGATGAGAAAGTCTGAGCACATTGTTCAGTCTTCTCCAGAGCAGCCTTTACTGCCAGTTAACAATCTGAGGGGTCATCAGTCAGATGAACACCAAGCTTTATTTGGACATTAAGCCTTTCATTCACAAACACCTCAGAAGAAAAACCTTCTGATATTCCCTCTGTCACGTCACAGAACACCAACAGCAACTTCTAATGACATTTTCTCACATCCGATACAAATGGGCAAACTCAGAGCAGGACTGACTTCTCTTCCTCTTAACATATCAAGCATGTCCCACAAAACAAGCAACACGCAGCGCTGAATCAATCCGTCCACACACGTCCCTCACAGTGTCTTAATGTTGCAACATGTCTGCAGGGATAAAGAAAGAACCACATTGACAGTGCTACTAAAGGTGGGTGACCCGGGTAGGGTCGACAGGTTGGAGCTGTGTCTAGTACAGGTCACCCATTTATTTCAATTTCCTTATGCACAAAAGCAGAGCCACAATTACAAGGTGTGGTTGGTTACCATAAATATCTGAAAGTGACAACAGGGCCCTTTTCTGCTGCTGGAGGAAAGAGAGGTGTTCTGCTTTGTCCTGCCAGTCCAGCATTTATTTAAACAGAGAGTGATGGTAGGTGATGGGACCAGCCTTGATACTATCATCAGTCCTCAAACCCTGTCCAGGCTCACAGGGACTCAATTTCATTTTTATTTTACTTTAAACAGGTTTGAACAATGCATAGCTTTCCCTGGTGGCTCATTAAACAGAATTAAACCCAAGAAAGGCAGTAAAAGACTTGAAAGCCCCAGAGCCAGAGGAGATGATTTCTGACAGTAATGCTCACCAGGTTTCACACATAAGTATGCCTACATAACTAATGAGAACTACAGGCTGCATTAAAACAGAGTGACCTCTGCTGGTTGAGCTTTCACATAGCCAGAAGGCCTATAAATATGTTAGGAAACTAAAATATGTATTAAATAATATAAACTTAAATAAATAGGCTAACTTCTGTCCTAAGCTACATATAACATTAGTTCACTTGTCTTAATCTGAAGTTACAGGTCACCAATGGCCTTACAAATGTTCAATTCTCCCTAACAGCCAGAGTTATTTATTATTTTTTATTATTTATTTCAGTTAATTAAAGTGTTTTATTTCCACACCCAGATTTAGTTTAGTTTTATAACCTACGAAAAACGTTCTTTTACTTTAGTTTTAGTCTAAAATCACCCCTTTAACTACATGGTCCATGGGCTACTTTTATGTTGAAGGTTTTACCGGTTGCTTTCACTTCCATATAAAGGAATAGACCACGTGACTTCCATTTTTGGTTTATAACGAAAAATGAATTGACTGAAGTTCACAGACTCTCTTCATTCTTTCTTCAAAAAGAATTAAAAATAAAATGGCATCTTTTCTGATTTTTAGGAAGACTGTAGTTTAAAACTGTATTTAGATTAAACATAAACTATTTATACTTTTAGGAGAAAATCAGTCAATGACAATAATCTACTACTTGTTTTCTATTACTTTGTGTACTTGGTGTAAACTGCCAAAGAATAAAATATCTGTGGTGCTATAAATGTTGATAACTGAGTCTATAATCAGCATTTGAACTGATTAACTTATCAGATAACAGAGTGAGTTAATACATTATGGGAAATGTTGTTATTGTAAATTAGACTTTATATATATATATTTGCAATACATCTTCAGCTTTACTCACCTCAAATTCTTCTCAATGTTGTGTTAAAACATTCCCAAATAGTTATTCAGTCACATATTTATGTGGTAACAGCTTTTATTTATGCTGTAAATTTTGTCTTTGTTTTGAAATTAAACACTGTTTCACATGTAGACAAAGTGACCATGATTCAAATCAGATTTTAAAAAAACTAACTTTATTACTTCACAGCAGAGGGCAGGAGCTTTGAGAAACACTTCTAAAAAACAAAAATCTCAAAACGTGTCATAAAAAACTGAACATTGTGATGCACGGTTACAGTTTCAATCCCACTGGGAGCACCACCAATAAAACATTCACATAATCATGAAAGTGTTAATGTAGCAGCCTGTGTAGGACTTTTCTTTTCTAAAAATAAATCAGCATTGAAGATTTCCAGGTGCTCCAGGTTTTACTCATAAACACAAAAACTATGTACATACATGTATTTAACAGCCTATAGACACAACCATCATAAAATATTAAGCATTAGAAAGAAAAACATGTGAACAATACAGAAAAAAGAGAAAGCACTGTGATGGAAGAAAGGAGCTGTATGCAACTTTCACTGTTGCACTACAGCACCAGCACAAATGGCTGCTTCATGAAAAACAACTATTTTACCTCACGTCATCGTGAAGCACATTTCATTCGAACTGAACAGAAACAAAATAAAACTCACAAAATTCTTGTCTTTTCACTTTTCCAACAGTTACCAACTCTGGTTTGGTTAAAATAAATCCTAATTTCACGTCGTTAGATGAGAAAAGAAACATACAACTTCACAGCGAGGGGCTCACCTGCTCCAACATGCATCATTTCTGATGACTGAGACTTTTTTCTTTTACTGTAATTATATCTATAATATAAATACATACATATACACACACTATTAGACTACTGAATGACATTTCTGTTGTAGATACGGATGTTCTGAAGCATATACAAATATTAAATCTATAAATATAACGGTATACGTCACATTTGTGATTTTAAGGTTAATTATTAACAAACAAAATTGCTGGTGTGTGTTTCATAAAATTATTTGGCAAAGTTATTTTTCAAGCAGATCTCCTGACAGCGGCGCTGATGTTCAACTTGTAGAAGAGATTTCTCATCTCTCGACTGGAATAACGAAGCTCACGTTGAATCTGATGTTTCCCATCCAGTGGCCACTTTTCAAGGATTCATTCCTCTTCATGCTGACAGCATCATAACCTTGGGAAAATATTTCCATAATTTATGTGTGATTGAAGAACAGAACCACCGGGTGTAATATGAACAATGAGAACTGAACTTACTGCACAGTTCAGGCTGGACCCTGGAAATCTAGACGATATGCCTTACTGCCTCTTCTCACGCACACAGGTCTGAAATTACATTTAAAGTTCAGCACATGTGATATCTAGTTCTGCATGAGGCTACAAAAACACATAAATCTACCAGTTCAGACTCATCTTCCAGATTTATTATGTCATCGCAATCTGAAAATACAAGATGACATTTAAACTCCTTAAACAACTTCAGCAAATGATTCAAGCATTTTTGGAAATATGCTTCAATGTCAACTGTTGGTTAGCTTAGCGTAAAGACTGGAAACAGGGGGAAAGGGTGAGAAGCAGTCAGAGTTATATTATAATATATGATAATAATGTGCTATTTTTTGTTGATGCATGAACATGTAAACAGTATTTCAATGTTGTAACAGGTGGAGAAAGAGCTCTTTTTTATTACAATCTGTAAACCAGAGCATATTATTTTATGATTATATGTTGTGTACTGAAAAACTTAATTTGGCAAAGTCACATTCATGTAAATGTTGTGGAGTAAAATGTATAATATTACACTATAGAACATTGTGAAGTAGAAGTATTAAGTATCATAGGTAAGTAAGTTTCATAAATACTGAAGTATCTTATTATACTCTAATTTGCACCTAAAGTAAGTAAAGTATTTGAGTAAATTTATATTCAACCACTGCCTACCAGCGCCTCTAAAGCTGGTTGACTAATTAACACATCTCATTTAATTCAAAAGCTTGTTGTCGTGTTGCTGAGAGGTTGGATAAACTGTTTGTCAAGAAATACAGCACCATCATTTAACTCTTGTTGTAACATTGTTATTGTTTTCGACCCGATTAAACAAACAAGATACAACATGTTAATGTTAATCTGTGACCTTTAGAGGTGTATTTTTTTTACTTTGGACAGAGCCAGGCTAGCTGTTTCCCCCTGCTTCAAGTCTTTAATGCTAAGCTAAGCTAATCACCTTCCCACTCTAGCTGAGAAAGATATCGATCCTCTTACTTTGTGACTGAAGGCTCCAAGTTGAAGTCGACATCGAGCAGCTCTTGGGATTGATTGTGTTTCATCAGCAGATAGATGGCTGTTGGAAACTCCACCCAGCTGAAAGACAGTTTAAAGTGACCATAAGTTTTTCTGAAACAGTGAAATGCAGTGCAGCAGAGACACGAGTAGAGAAGAGACATGAAGTCAGGATACAGACTCAGTTATAGCACCAGAAGCTGCTGGTCACAGAGCAAGCAGAGCTGTAGCAACAAAACTCCTGAGAGGACTGAACTGATCCAGGATGTTTTACTGGAATTTATTATTTGTAAGAGGATGAATGAGCTGATTCTAAAACACAGAACATGGCACAAAACTGACTGAATGAAGCAGCTGCCTTCAAAAAAGTGACCTGAAATCAGTTAACAGGTGACTTAATGCATCAACTCTGCACCTATTTAAACCTATTTACTGTGATTGTTGGTGAATGTTCAGTGGACTGAGTTCAGTCTAAATGTTTCTCTCTGTGTCTGACCAGGTTTTGGAAAACGAGCCCCTCGTCTCGATGTAAAATGTAAATGATGAATCTCACTATGCAGGCAGGTGGTGACGGCCGAAACGTGGCACAGCGAGCCGCTCGCTGTTTCTGGAGCAGCTGGAGGCTGCAGACCCTCCTGTCTGCTCCACTGCAGTGTTTGCGTCCTCAGATTCGTCACAGAGCCTCATTTTGAGGCTCACGCCAACAAATCACCTGAATGACACAACACAAACAGAGGTGTGTCAGTAAATACAGACAGTACTGTGGTCCAGCGGTGGAGGAAGTATTCAGAGCCTTCATTTAAGTACAGGTAGCGATACTACAGTGTGAAAATCCTCCCTGCATTGAAAATGATACATCTCTAAAAATTAATATTAAGTATCAAAAATAAAAGTACCATAAGGCAGAAAATGGCCTTTAAGTGTTGTACTATTATATATCCTGTTATGGGATTATTATTTATGATGCATTTATGTGAAAACAGTATGTTACTATTGTAGTTTGTCAAAGTGGAGCCAATTTTATCAATTTTATTTAATGTTGGGTAGTTCAATCTATAACAAGGCCTCATATTTTATGAGATTATCATGTTTTCAAGAACTTCTACCTCAAATTTGTAGTGAATATTTAATTGACATGGTGCCAGCAGGGTAGCAGGAACACAGGGGTAGGACACAAATGCAGACGTCAGAGGTGGTTCTGCTCAGTGATTTAAACAAACAAGAGCAATCCAACACAAGCAAAGTAATGCAGTAAGGAGCAGGCAGGCATCCAAAGTCCAAAACGCAAAAAGACCAAATCCAGGTAGGGCCGATTATTGCAGGACAGGGGAGAGAGCAGAGCAGGGAAGCAGGATGACAGGTGATGTGGAAAGGAGGGAAAGTCTGAGGCTATCTGGTGGACGGATGTAAAATGAAAGGGGCTGAGGAATCAGGAAAGAGGCTGAAGAGGAGAAACAGGGAGGCCCTGACATTTAATAACCTCACATTTCAAACAATGCCAAAGACTCTTAAAAAGAGCACAAAAAATCTGTTCTGCACGTCCATCAACAGATTGTAAAAAGCATCAAAACATGTATTTGCATTTGATCCCTGCAGCACATTAGACACAAGTCATTATATGGTGCTTCATGTAATGACAACCAGCCAGCAGCTCTACAACACAGTAATCACACACAGGAGTAAGCATCACATACACAGCCTGTTGGTGTCTATACTGGTCCTGTAACAAAGTTAAACAGTTTAAGTTTCCTGCTTTATAGTCAAATATATCGTCAGGTAAATACAAAGCAAACAGGTAACAATCAGAGTTTCTTCTTAGAGAAAATAAATTCTAATGAAATTAAATTAAATCTATGGACACAAACTACCTACAGGTTGATTTAAGTTTGTTCAAACAGATTATTTGTGCGATCTTCAGCCATAGTAACAAGTAGCAGGTCATAAAAACTTAGTTTGTTGTATTTATCAGTACTCTTGATCATCTCCGCAGAATCGCAGCAGCAACAACATGCGCAGGTTGCAGCAAAAATGCAGCTCTGGGTTAATGTCTTCAATATAACAGCCACTATATCTACATCTTAAAGACTTGGAGGTGATTTCATGTGTTATTTTTTTTATATATTTCACATTTAAGCCTTTATTCCAGGAGGGAAAATGTCAATCAATGCAGTTTTTAAAAACAGCCCTTTTTTTTGTAGTTGATTAAAAAAAATTGAAGTTGAGAGTAGATGCATGTAGATTAATCCTCCTTTACAAATTGTTGCTTCAAGGCTGCAGCATTTGTTCTACGATTGTTCACTGCCAAACGTTGAACCTTGGCCTCTAGTATCTAAAAATAATAATGTCAGAGGAATTTCATTTCCTGACGCAGGATATCGTCATATAAACGCAGCACACAGAACACATTAACGGAACAAAGATTAATGCTCAAAGAATTCAACGAGAAATAGAAATGAACCTTAGTCACATTCCTTCCTTCTGCTGTCATTCATCCATCATCTTATCTGAATCAAAAGCTTCCTGTTTATCCTGCTCTAGCATTTCAAGTGCACACCAGATAGTTTCAACTCCAAAACATCTTGTGCCCACCAGATATTTTCCAGTGTGCACAGAAAACATCAGGAGCTCAGGCGCTCTGAATCACAGAAGTCTCTTCGTCTCTTTCATGGCAGAAGACTAGAGCAGGGTTTAAATCAGACAAGATGTGTAACTTTGGTATCAAATTGTACTTTTAAATATATTTTCTATATTGTATTTAACTTGGATTAAATCAGATCGCCACCCCTCCAGTAACTCTATCTCCTCACTTATATACTACTAACTTGCAAAAGAGTATCAGTAAAATGTTCAATGACAAATAATTGTTTTTAACTTGTTTTGCCTACAATCTTCATGACACAATATCTGCTTGTAGCAAAGAAACTCCTGTAATGGGATTATGAAAGTGTTTTGCACAAATCTGTAACTGAGTGTAACTGTAATGCTGAAGTTTTATTGCATGCATGAATTAGTTTAGCAAAAAAAAAGAAAAGTATGCAACAGGTGCAGCAGCTTCTCAGAAAATGTTTATGAACTAATCAATTCATGCCTGAATTCTGTCAAACAGTATCATTAAAATAAAATTAAAACATTGTTGATGAATGAATGCTTTTAACCTTAAAATACAAGACGTTTCCTCTGGTGGCAGGACTGTTTGTGTGCCCTCCATCCTCTCCAACCATCTACAGTAATGCAGCACTTTCTTTAAGGAAACAAACATCTCCACGTAAAGTAAAAAAGTCAGCGATGTCCCTCAACAGAATTGACATAACATACATTAGTGCTGTATAAATGTCATTTCAAGGAGACAGGGTTGCTGCAAGACTACTGCCCTGCAAGCTTCAGCTGATATTGTCTATGAAGATTCTCAGTCATCCAGGTCATAGTTATCCAACGAAGGTTAAAGTCAAGGGCAACTGGACTTGGGTTCAGCTGATATTGTGCTTTAGTGACTTAAAAAATGTGCAATTCATAACAATTTTAAAACCCAACAGACGTGCAGTGAATCTGGAGCATCTGGCCGGTTTGCCTGCTCAGCCTTGGTACCGTCCTAACAACATGCATTTACTCCAAAAGACACAGCTGTGATGTTTCTCTCTCAGAGTGAACTGATCACACACAGAACACACAGAACAACACAGGTGTCATCAACACTTACCCTCTGCTGCAGTCTGGACTTCAGCTTCTCCTCAGTTATCGCACACTGAAATCAGAGAGCGACGACGCCTCAGCCTTTTGTTCTTTTCTGCTCGACTGGGAAAAAACTGGTTCTTTGCTCCTTGACATTTTTTTGATCGGTTGCCATATCTGCTCCACCTTTATGCTGCACCTACACAACACCTGCAGGTGGAAGAATTTCAGTCTGACTGGAGAACAGCCAAGTCTCCTCCTCTGGTTAAAAATCATTTGTGCCATGGGTTAAAAATAAAGGCTGATTTTCATATTTTCACTTCAGCATCATACTGTCGGAACAAAAGGAGGGAAATAATATGTGTCACACATTTTTTTGGGCACATCTTTCGTAAAAGGCATAGTTTATATACATATAGAGGATTTACCTCTGTAAAGTATATGATAAAGATTCCCGATAATAAACCATTTGTAAGAACAATTTCTGGGTTGCAGTGTTGCAACAAGTCTGAAGTTCAATAGGACAACAACTGCAGAACTTTGTGGATCAAAATCCATTTACTAAAAAAAACATTAACATGAACTGCAGGCTTCATGAGCCAACAAACCTTCATTAGTTACTAACCAACAATCTCTTCCTAATGAGCCATAATATCCGCTGTTATAAATGTTTTGTCAGGTCATTCATAAAGGCTTCTGTGCTCCTGCAGTTGTAAATCAATTAAACATAAAGTTGTTGATACATTTTGGTTCAGATGTTCTGCATCTGTTTAACAGAAAGTCAAAATGACGTCCTGATAAATTAAAGGAATTGTTCAAACATTTTGGAAAATACACTTTTTGGCTTTCATGCCGAGACTTGAGTGACGGAGTCAGAACTGGAGTCGGAACATGGTAAGCCTAGCTTAGCATAAAGACAAGGTGCCGGGGAAAATAGCAAGCCTGTCTGTCATCAGGATGTTTTAATGTGTCAATGTTACGGCCACCAGCCGTGCAGCTGTGTGTTATGTTACGCAGGATGTGCAAACCCTTGCCGAGGATTGGTGCAGCGTCTGGCAACCTCCTCCAGCCATCTACTGCCTTCCAGATCATCCCCTGTTTACAGTGGGTACGGAAAGTATTCAGACCCCTTTAAATTTTTCACTCTTTGTTTCATTGCAGCCATTTTCCAAAAATCAAAAAAGTTCATTTTATTTCTCAGTAATGTACACTCAGCACCCCATCTTGACAGAAAAAAACAGAAATGTAGAAATTTTTGCAAATTTATTAAAAAAGAAAAACTGAAATATCACATGGTCATAAGTATTCAGACCCTTTGCCGTGACACTCATATTTAACTCAGGTGCTGTCTATTTCTTCTGATCATCCTTGAGATGGTTCTACACCTTCATTTGAGTCCAGCTGTGTTTGATTATACTGATTGGACTTGATTAGGAAAGCCACACACCTGTCTATATAAGACCTTACAGCTCACAGTGCATGTCAGAGCAAATGAGAATCATGAGGTCAAAGGAACTTGCCTGAAGAGCTCAGAGACAGAATTGTGGCAAAGCACAGATCTGGCCAAGGTTACAAAAAAATTTCTGCTGCACTTAAGGTTCCTAAGAGCACAGTGGCCTCCATAATCCTCAAATGGAAGACGTTTGGGACGACCAGAACCCTTCCTAGAGCTGGCCGTCCGGCCAAACTGAGCTATCGGGGGAGAAGAGCCTTGGTGAGAGAGGTAAAGAAGAACCCAAAGGTCACTGTGGCTGAGCTCCAGAGATGCAGTCGGGAGATGGGAGAAAGTTGTAGTAAGTCAACCATCACTGCAGCAATCCACCAGTCGGGGCTTTATGGCAGAGTGGCCCGACGGAAGCCTCTCCTCAGTGCAAGACACATGAAAGCCCGCATGGAGTTTGCTAAAAAACACCTGAAGGACTCCAAGATGGTGATAAATAAGATCCTCTGGTCTGATGAGACCAAGATAGAACTTTTTGGCCTTAATTCTAAGCGGTATGTGTGGAGAAAACCAGGCACTGCTCATCACCTGTCCAATACAGTCTCAACAGTGAAGCATGGTGGTGGCAGCATCATGCTGTGGGGGTGATTTTCAGCTGCAGGGACAGGACGACTGGTTGCAATTGAAGAAAACCTCGTCCAGAGTGCTCTGGACCTCAGACTGGGCCGAAGGTTTACCTTCCAACAAGACAATGACCCTAAGCACACAGCTAAAATAACGAAGGAGTGGCTTCACAACAACTCCGTGGCTGTTCTTGAATGGCCCAGCCAGAGCCCTGACTTAAACCCAATTGAGCATCTCTGGAGAGACCTGAAAATGGCTGTCCACCAACGTTCACCATCCAACCTGACAGAACTGGAGAGGATCTGCAAGGAGGAATGGCAGAGGATACCCAAATCCAGATGTGAAAAACTTGTTGCATCTTTCCCAAAACGACTCATGGCTGTATTAGATCAAAAGGGTGCTTCTACTAAATACTGAGCAAAGGGTCTGAATACTTATGACCATGTGATATTTCAGTTTTTCTTTTTTAATAAATTTGCAAAAATTTCTACATTTCTGTGTTTTTTCTGTCAAGATGGGGTGCTGAGTGTACATTACTGAGAAATAAAATGAACTTTTTTGATTTTTGGAAAATGGCTGCAATGAAACAAAGAGTGAAAAATTTAAAGGGGTCTGAATACTTTCCGTACCCACTGTAAATAGCTGCCTACCTGTGTGAACTTGGCAGTTGTGATTTTCCACTTGATCAACTCGCCTTGTTCGTATTGTGCTCTATAGTAGTATTTGTGTTAACTGCTGTAGAAGCGTTATTTCAAGTGATAAGTGTTAGTTCTTAGTGTCAGTGTGTTACCTTTACTGGGAATTGTGTTAAGGAAGCAGGGCAAGTACTTTAGTGGGGGATTACTGATATCAATCAGACACCTGCAGTTAAGTTTGTTAGACACACTAGGCTTAGAGGGTGCTGCTCACTTTGTATTTTGTATGTTTGTTTTCTGAACAAGTCAGAGTTTTGTTTAGTTTGATTTTGGAGTAGCAAGTGGCTCTCTCTCAGCTGGAGAGACCTCTAAGTTATATTTGTTTCTTTGATTTAAGCAGCATCCACCAGCCCTTTTCCATTCTGTTTGTAAACCCTGTCAACAATAAACAACTTACACCTTTACCAAAAACATACTGGTTCATGTTGCTTCCCTTTCCCCACGAGCTGGGTCGTAACAGTTAAATACTTTGGTTTAAGATCAAAAAAACTGCAGAATCAGAAGGAGCTTTATTGCCAAATAGTGTTTTACACATACAAGGAATTTGCTTTGGTGATGAGGTGCTACACGTAGACAAACATACAGTTGACATTAATAAATGTAGAAATTAGACAGATTTTAGACAGAAGATTAGACAATGCAAGTTATATAAGAATAATAAAAAGAACAGAGAAAAATAATGCAACTATTTGCAGAGAAAGAACAACATCGCAGATATTTACACTTGCATTATTCCGGGTTTGTGTTGTGCAGATGTGCTGCAACATAACAGAGTATTGCATTTAAATTGACAACATTAAAATATACACCAAAGATTTAAAATTAACAGCAAATATGTGCAATGTGCCAGGTTTGTGCATGATATGAAATGAAATATTTACATGTGCAGGGACATTTGTATTATTTGCAAGGGGGGAGTATCAGTGGGGGACCCGGGCCTTGTTGATGAGGCTGCAGACGGTGGCGAGAGGTTTTGGTCCTGATGGACCGCAGCCTCCTGCCAGAGGGGAGAATCTGAAACAGTTTGTGTCCGGGGTGGGAGGGATCAGCTGCAATCTTTCCTGCTCGCCTCAGAGTCCTGGAGGCGTGCAGGTCCTGAAGAGAAGGAAGATTGCAGCCAATCACCTTCACTGCAGAGCGAATGATGCGCTGCAGCCTGCCCTTGTCCCTGGCGGTGTCAGCAGCGTACCAGATGGTGATGGAGGAGGTGAGGATGGACTCAATGATGGCGGTGTAGAAGTGCATCATCATCGTCTTTGGCAGGCTGAACTTCTTCAGCTGCCGCAGGAAGTACATCCTCTGCTGGGCCTCCTTGGTGAGGGAGGTGATGTTCAGCTCCCACTCGAGGTCCTGGGAGGTGATGGTGCCCAGGAAGCGGAAGGAGTCCACAGTGGTGACCGGGGAGTCACACAGGATGATGGGGGAGGGTGGGGCTGGGCTCTTTCTAAAATCCACAACCATCTCCACTGTCTTCAGAGCGTTGAGCTCCAGACTGTTCTGGCTGCACCAGGTCACCAGATGGTCAGTCTTCCACCTGTAGGTGTCAATGAGGTGAGGTGGTGTCATCCGCAAACTTCAGGACGTTGACGGACTGGTGACTGAAGGTGAAGCTGCTGGTGTACAGGAAGAAGAGCAGAGGGGAAAGAACGCAGCCCTGAGG